TCTGACTAGTTTTTTGATGTCACAGTGTCAAGTCGCTGCTGCTCACTTCTTTCATAAGGGACCCTATAGTGTAAATTCCTCAATATGTGTTTCAATATTCCCTATTCCTTTCACTGCCTGGAATAGAGAAACCTCTATGTGAACATCAGATTGGCCCACTAAAGAAGAAACTGACATGTTTCTGTGGGACTTTGGGTAACGGACATTCACTAAATAGGTTTTTGTTCCATCTTACTCTTCATAGGAACATTTGGGGAGGCATTACAATTAATAATTCTTTGTACATGAACAGCATATATATATACATAATGTTGTTTTTAGTTTTGTTTTGAGACAAGGTCTCTCCATGTAGATCAGGCTGGCTTTAAACATACTAGGTAGCCCAGGCTGATCTCCAACTTGCAGCAATCCTACCTCGCCTCCTCTTCTGAGTGCTAGGATTACAGGCCTGTGCCACCAGGCTTTGTTTTTTGAGGCAGGGTCTTACCATGTAGTCCAGACTGGTCTCTTTCACTATTTAGCCCAAGCTGGCCTTGAACTCATTTTTTAGTGTCATTACTCTTTTTTAATGTATTTGAGGTGGAAGCTATAATACTGAGAAGAGGTTCACCTTTATATCAGAATAACTAAGGATTTAATGATTTTGACTTTGAGCACAGTACTGTGACTGATGCTTAGCTTTGTCATTTGCTTCAGGCCTGCCAAGTATGTGAGACTGTTAAGTGTCAAATTTTTTCAAGCTCAACCATTACCCCAATCCTAGGGCATCTCAGGGCACTGAGAAACAGGTGTCCAAAGCAGAAATGTTGGTGCCTGCCAGTGTGTTTTCCAGTTGTATTGAATTTCTTGGTATATTTTTGACCTGTCTTGGTTTCTTTTCTGCTCATAGCTATTCTGTTTTGCTTGCAATTTGTTAAGTATTCTCTGTCAAGTCATTCAAGAGTTGTAAAATGGAAGTTCGTATTTCTACATAAATGTTTTATGGCTAAAACTGATAGTTTTAGCATTGATTTTGCCCCAGCCAAGAAAAGTTAATGTGATAAATGTGTTTGTGACTTTGGACTCATTTTTAGAATCTTCAGCGTATGAACCTTTTTAGAAACAATAGTTCTAATTAAGAACCCTCAACTGCAATTTGGAAAATGAGTTGGTTTGTTCCTTATCCTCTTGTCTGTGAGTGTTCCATCTGACAAGGCACTTACATAGGTATTCAGGAAAATAATATTGTTTCCCCATCTCATCTTCCCAACTAGTTAAAACAGACATCTAGTGATGATACTTTAGGTAGCAGAATTAAAATACAAAACCAACTTCTGATGACAGCATGGATCACAGGCAAGTAGCTTTAAGCTCTTAGTGGGATTATCCAACTCAGAGGGAATGTGGTAGAAGGGGAGATTACTTATGCTTTCCTCCCAGAGAGTCTTGTGGGTGTTTTTGTGAGGGATGGGTCTAGTATGAGTGTGCCTCCTTAATTCCACTGAGGCTGCTATTGAAGAAGTGTCTTGGTTTTTACTATTGCATTTATTGTCAGTTCCAGGTTTGTTTTTCATGAAGTTAGTCTATTAGCTTGCCAATTTGAAGTTTTTTAAAATTATATATCCTTGACTGAAAGTTTGAAAGTCGATTTATTAGGGGCTGGAGATTTAGCTCAGCGGTATAAACACCTCCCTTGCAAGCTCGTGGTCATGAGTTCGATTCCCGGTACCGATAAAAAAAATTGATTTGTTATTGGTTAAACAGTCGTTTCTGGGCAAAGGAAATTGAAAACAGGATTTTTTTTTTTTTTTTTTTTTTTTTTTTTTTTTTTTGTCTTTTTCCTTTTTATCGGTACCAGGGATCGAACTCACGACTGCCTGCTTGCAAGGCAGGCACTTTATGCAGCTGAGCTAAATCCCCAGCCCCAGGAGAATTTTCTTTACGTTCATAAGATTTTAAGTCTAATCTAAATCCTTAATATACTCACAGGACTTTTAAAAGCTGTTCCTAACTAGGAGGGAAATACCCTGTTGCTTTCAGATATTGTACTGTATTTGCTAAAAGTTGTTTTTAGATACTATTGTGTTTGTGTGTGTGTGTGTGTGTGTGTGTGTGTGTGTTTGTCTTTTTCCTTTTTATCGGTACTGAGGATCGAACTCACGACTGCCTGCTTGCAAGGCAGGTGCTTATGCCGCTGAGCTAAATCCCCAGCCCTAAAAGTTGTTTTTAGAAAAACAAATCTTAGTTAAGTGTCAGTCCTTTGGCCACTTACTATAGGGCACTTTGAAGGACAGAGGCAGAAAGAAAACAGAGAAAGTTTGAAGACTAATTCAAACTGTCTTAGCAGGTAAGCTAGTTTCCACCTCCCAAGTTAATATAGAACCATGCAATAGTATCATTAGAAAAATTTACTTAGGGCTGGGGATTTAGCTCAGCGGCATAAGTGCCTGCCTTGCGAGCACATGGTTGTGAGTTCAATCCCCGGTACCACAAAAAAAAAAGAAAAAGAAAAATTTACTTAGCACTTTTATTTTATGAATATTCTAAGAGCTTTACATATACTTCTCACTTGTTCATGGGTTTGTCCCTGTAAGGTAGATATTTTTGTTCTCATTTTTAGATGAGGAAACAGGCCCTGAAAGGTAAAAAAGATCATTTAACTTGGGGTAGAGGGGGAGAATCTGAACAGAGTGAGTTGGAAGTCTGACCTGTTGGGTGGTGGTAGGTATGCCATATTGTTTACTTAAACACTGAATATGTTAGGTATTCATTGTGTCAGAAGATACCATTCCTTCACTCACTGAAAGGCAATTTTAATTGAGATAAATTTACTAGACAGATGTTGACATGTGTTTTGCTTTTTTGTTTTTTGGTACGGGGATTTAACAACCACACGTTTGCAAGGTATAGGTGCTTATGCCACTGACCTAAATCCCCGGCCATGTGTTGTCTTTTAACAAAACATATATATGGTGTGTGGAAGCTGGAGAGGTTTATTCTGTTTGTGGTTAAAGTTACTGTCCTACAGGTAAAAATGTCCATTCTATGGATGGAGTCCTTGAATCTTACTGGTTTGAGTTGGAGTTCATTTGTTTTGCATGTATATTTAAACTTAGGCTTCCTAAATCATTTTCTTTCCAAAGGAGACAAATGAACATTTATAGGAGACACAGCAATCACTGAAGCAGTTTACCTGTTTTTGAGTACTTGTTTCAAATTTTTAAGTATTTTTCATCTAGAAAATTTTTGGTGTTTAAATTTCATCTGAATTTAGAAGGTTAATTTTTCCAAGGGAGTTTGGGGGGATAACCAGAAATTCTGATTTTGCATTATGAACAAAAGATAAAAATAGTCATTTTCCTGAAGAAAAGTGGTACTTCTGAATCAAGCTCTTCACTTGACCTCTAGACTTCTTGCTAGTAGGGAGACTTTCCCAGAGATTTTATGAGACAGATTGCTGAGGAAAGGGTTTCTAGATTTGAGGATAGGAAGCTCAAGAGACTCCACAACAGTTAATAGAAAAATGGTATTCAAGTGGGCTTGGTAGCTCATGCCTGTAATTCCAGCTCATGGGATTCTGAGGCAGGAGGATTGTCATGAGTCCAAGGACAGCCTGAATTACACACAGTGAGACCCTGCGTGGAAAAAAGAAAAGAAAAATGGTATTTATTATGTGCTAATTTTCCTAATTCTAAAGCTTCATTTTCACCAGTTTGGTTGGTTATTGTTTGTTTGCTTTGGGGTTTGGTGGTGGTTGTTTGAGACAGGGTCTTGCTCTGCAGCTCAGGCTGGACTTGATTTCACTGTATAGCCCAGGGTGGCCTCAGACTTGCACCACAGTTTGAAAGACAGCAGATAGGAGGAGAGACTATATAGAGGAGGAGGAAAACAGAAGAATGCAGCACAGGGACCTTGAAGTCAATGTATTAAGGCAGGGGAGCAGCAGACACTGTCAACTGAGTGAAAATAAAAAGATGTACAGTGTCCAAGGTCAGAGCAAAAAGGTAAGGATCTTAGTTTACTTTGCTAATTCCTTAATTTGCCTCTTAATTACTCCTTAGCTTGCATGTATATTTAAACTTAGGCTTCCTAAATCATTTTCTTTTCTTTCCAAAGGAGACAAATGAACATTTATAGGAGACACAGCAATCACTGAAGCAGTTTAGCTAAGGAATATATCAGAAACTGTTCCTCATTTTCTGTTCCCTTCTTAGGCTGACCAGTTAGTTCCCTGGTGTGTTACCTGCTTCTGCTACCAATCCAGACTGCACAACTTCTCATTCATCCCCTTGACCTCCAGGCAGTATCCAATGGGGAATCAGCTCTAAAAAGGAACCAGACCAACGTTTTCTAGTCCCTTCATTTTGGTGACTGATGGAAGGAAAGAGTGGGAAAGGGAATATATTTGTATACTGGATGAAAAAGAAATAGACCATCAAATTATATACCTCTTTATCATTAGTAGTCTGTACCCATATTAATTGTATTATGTGTATATTTGTGGATTCAAAGTGACTAGAGAATAAATGCAGGAGATAAGAGTTAGAGTTGATTTTGAAGGCCTAGGGATATAGCTCAGCAGCACAATTGCCTGCCTGGCAAATGCAAGTCCTGAGTTTGCTTCCTGATACAAAAAAAAAAGTTGATTTTGAAAGATGTTGATGTTTTGAAATAACGTGTCCGTCTCAGGTTTTTTTTTTTTTAATTTATAAAAATACCATTGATACAGCCTGTCCCCTCAGTTCCTCATCAGAGACTTCTTGGACTGGAAACACTTGTTTAATAATAGATTGTGTCTGATATCCCCAGTAACAACTACTACAAGAGGAAAGAATAGAAAACGTTTAGGACATCGTCATATAGACACCTCATCTACAAAGTTCCAGTAGTAGTGACATCCTCACAAGACTTGGAACCACCAACAGGATGGGGTCACCTCAGTAACCTCTCTCGATGCTGCCCAAACACGTTTGATTTTTGTTTTGGAGGGAGCAAAAGAAAGGCTGTACTAAAAGACTTAATTTTATGTCTACGCTTTCTCACTTGTTTTTATTTTTTATTTGTGCTTATTTTGGCGGGAGAGGAAAGGAAGGGGTTTAGGGGATAGAATTTCACTTCATAACTGGAGTGAAGGGGAGGAGGTGAAGCTCAGCCCTTCACCCAAGAATAACCCAGTAATGACATCTCTAAGCGTGGGAAGTGTTTCCCTCAACACTGGGAGGATCTAAGGCTGCACCCCAGTGGGATTCCAGCTTGAATTGGAAGGCCATTCAGAGGGCGATGGCTTGTCTCGACGAGAGCGCCGAAAGCTTCGCCTGCCCGGGATGAGATGCCAAAGAGGAGAGATGAGGTCGAAGGGACGTCCCCCAATTTGGAGGCGCGGGCCGTGCCGTGTGTGACTTAAGAGCCTGATGCTCGCTGAGGTCTGTGTCCTCCGTTGAGGGTCTGACACGGAGGCGACACTGCTGGGCACCGACTCCGAGTCACGCGAAACGGCCCAGCTGTGCCCAGGCGGCCAGCGCCAGACCCTGGCGTCCTCCATCTTCTCTCCTGAGCTCCCCCTGCTCCAGCTGCCAGAGCTGCGGACCGCAGCACCACACACCCCCGCGGGGGGGGACGCCGCGCCCCATCCCCGCCCCCAGCCCCACCCCGGCCCCCCCGCAGGGGCCCTGACCCCACCGCCCAAGGGCACTGGCTGAGCTCCGAGGCTGCGAGCCGGGCGCGGGGACGCCCGGAGGGGGTCCAGGCAGTTGGGGGCGGCGGCGGCCGGGCCGGGGCTCCCCCCCCGCCCGCGCTCGCCGCCGCGGTGGTGCGTCCCGGAGGTTACCGGAAGTGGCCGCGCTCGGCGCTGCCATGTTGAGGAGCCGCCGCTGCCGCTGCCGCCGCCGCCGCCGCCGCTTTGTTGTCGCCTCCTCCGGCTGAGGAGGCTCCCTGAGCGGGGGGAGTGGGAAGGAGGGGGGTCGGCCGCTGCAGCCATGGAGGCCAACTGGACCGCGTTCTTGTTCCAGGTACTGGGGCCCCCCCCGGGGGAGACAGGGGGACAGGGGGGCCTGGCCCCGGGCTGGCGGGCGGGCGCTCCTCCTCCCCTCCCTCCCGGCTCCGCTCTCCGGCCCGGCCTTAATCCCCCTTTGTTTTTCCGCTCGCCCGCCCCGGCGGTACCCGGCTGCCGAGGTGAAAGGAGGCGGCTTCACGGGGCGCGGGGGAGAGAGCAGGCCTCGGGGTGAACCCCGGGCCCCCCAGCAACACGCACGCACACACCCTTCCCTCCCGCCCGGTGGGGAAGGGAGGAGGCCGCCGCTGTCACCACTCCGCGGCTCGGAGAAAGGAGGGCGCCGGCCCCGGAGAGCGCGGGCCGCTTGGCCCCTGCTGTGGGCGGACGCGGGCCGCGCCGAGGGTGAGGGGTCCCCGCTCCCGCTCCCGACACACTTCATCCATCTTTCGCTCGCCTTCTTTCTCCTTGCCGCCCTCTCCTCTTTTTGTGTGTGTGTATGTGTGTGTGTGTGTGTGTGTGTTGACTTTCTGACCCTCCTCCCACATCTCGCGAATAGCGGGTATCCCTGAGTTCTCCGCCACTCCCCCTTTCCGCCGCCCCCTCGTGTTTACCCAGTTGAGAGGGGTGTTGTGAGGGTGTCTCCCTTCCCTAAACTTTTTCACTCAATTTCCGTTTTCCTTGCCCCAGCCCCGGCCGAGCCGGCAGCTGGCACCCTGTCCCTCTTGTCCAGCTCCTGCGCCGCTCCGTGCAGCTCGGGGAATCCCCGGGCCGGGCGGGGCGGAGAGGGGAGCGGGGCCGGGACTCCGGGAGGCCCGACCTGCTTCAGAGAGCTATCCCCCGCGGCCCGCTCCTCTGCGTTCGCTTTAGCCAAGCGGGGAGACGCAGAGCGAAGAGCGCAAACAAAGTCCGCTTACAAAGCCCCCAGATGAGTCATTCGTTGGGGTGTTGGTCTTCGCTTTTTGCAAGAAACTTAAAGTGACTGTAGCCCATACTTTAGCCATCCTCTTGGCTCCCCACTTTATGTGAAGGACCCTTGTTTGGAAGATCTGGTCGGGAACTTTTTTTTCCCCTTGCTTCGTTTCTATTTGCAAACGAAGCGTTTAGTGAGCAGCAGTGATGAGCTCACAGGGAAGCTTAGGAACCCGCGGAGGTTAGGAATCTCGGCACTTTTAAGTGCGTCCTTCCCGCCTCTCTAAGTTACTTTCCTTCTTTGAATACTTTGTGAAATCCCAAACGCATAGCTTGGGTGGTTGGGATCTTTCGGACCTACCCAGGAACGGATGCAGAATTTTAAAAAGTCACAAACCTCCCTCAGCTTCTGATGCCATCCCAGTGGAGGTAGAACAGGGAATTGGAGAATTCAGAATTACCCACTATATAAGATCTGGTTTATTGTTTTAAGACATATTTCAAATGTGGGCAGTGTGATTTTAAAGTAATTGTTGAAATGTATTTGGAAAAAACCATGTATTTAGGATTTTTGGTTTTAAATAGAGCCACGTTTATTGAAGATCATGGGACAGTAGCAGAAATAGGGCAGAAAGGCAAAGGGGAAAAGGAGGAGAAAGAGGTACAGGCTTTAACTCAAGCTTTCAATATTTAAAGGGTTAAATACCTTTAATTCCAGGTGGGTGCTTCTTAAAATTGAAAGTACTGATAGTTATGGAACTCATGAACTTCCCTGTTTCCTCATTCTGATCCAGTATTATTTTATTGTGCTTTGATGAGCTTGATAATAATGTGATAAGTTAACGCATTGGAAAAGAAATACATAACTAGCTGGCATTCAGGTTGATGGAAAGGTGGCTAATTTCTTCTCTAGAAAAAAGTCTTCAAATGAACATTTTAAAATAGAGGATTGATAGCCTATAGAAATGATTTGCATGTGATTAAAGTCATATTAAACTTAGTGGAGACTGAAAAAAAAAACAAGATTTATGTAAAGAAAAACCCATTATTCATCTTTGGAAAGTTAGTTGAAAGATCTTTTGAAATACTTTTTGAAAAGTGTCATTCTTCCCCTAGATAAAGGAAATGCAAGTATTTATTATAAGATCAACTTTTAAATCAGATTTTATATTTAATTTTTTCAGCAGCTAAACTTTTTCAGCCTGGTAAAGTGTGAAAGCTAATATTTGGTCCTGGGTTCAGCAAATTGTGTAGTGAAATTGTTGGAAAACTTGTAATTTACAGTCAAGGACAGTTGAATGGGTAGAGAATATTGTGAACCTTTCTATGGAAAGGTGTGACTAGACCTAATCAGTTCTGGTTTTAAGTAACTTTCACAGGGGAAATAGAGAATTAAACTCTCTTGTTTGTTTCCTAGAGCATCCTGTTGATTTTAAAACAATATTTGAGGTTATCCTGTTGAATACTTTAAGACAGTTTAATATCTGCCTGTTATCCAGATAACCTAGTGGAAAGTGAAAGCTGTAGCTATTAAAATGTTTGATGGATGATCCTAACAGGACATTCAAGAAATGACTCACCAATGCTAATTTGTTTCAGTGCAAAATCTTTTACCCTCTGGCGCTGGAGATTTCAGGGTGCCATATCTTACCATCCTGAATGATGAAATAATATTTCTGGTGTTTTTTGTTTTTCTGTTACTTGTTTTTTCTTTTTTTTGCCAATGCCAGTAAAAGGAAAGCTTAGGCAGGGCCAAGAAGCTTTGTACATAAAAGAAATAGGAAATAAAATTAAAGCTTCAATTTGATGATGCTTTCAAATAAAAGTCTACCTGGAAGTTATATTTTAAAAATAAGTCACTTTACTGATGGCAGGCCATGGTTGATATTTTACTTTGTCCCAGAGAACAAGTTGGGAAAACCCAGTCCCCCTCATAGAAAGCTTCATGTAGAACTGTGGGAATCCTAGGAATCCTCAGTGATTCTTGTAGTGGTTCTACAGCATTTCACTCAAGAAGCAAGGACCTGATGTGATCCTCATGTGAGACTAAGTTTTAGCAATGCTATAAAAATACAGACATCTGAATTGGTAAACTGACAGTAAGTGCTTTTAGTACTCCGTTGTACTTATGGTTGTTTAGAATTGAAAAATGTCTCAAAATGTTCTAAGTTTGAACTTTGTCCAGATTTGCATTTCCTACTCTCTGATCTGTTAGCTATTGAAATTGTATATCATAAGTTATCTTGCACTATTAACTGTTCGTATACTCTTGGGAATTTGGGTATCCTCCTCCTGGTTTGGAAAAGGGGTAAGATTAGATTTGAAATTCTATAAACTTTGTACTGATGTCACCTGGCTAGGTAGAACCCAATAGTCATAGTTGCTTCAAAAGTTGAAGGTGGGTTGTAATCCAGTATGAGCATTAAGTCTAAAAAAGACACTTATAAGTTAAACCACACAATTTCTGAGAGTGCTTCCAGGACCTAAAGTGTATCTAAATCAAAATTGTCAAATTGAAAATGATAATTCTGGATACCATACCTCCTAATCATTTAGGAGAATAGTTCCAGGCTTAGCTTTTATGTGCCATTAAGTAAACATAGATCAATATGTGGTAGATGTCCTAACCCATGCGGCGGATGACCGGTGGAAAACTGTGTGTGTGTGCTTTCTTGTTTGTTTCATTTGTTTTTTCTTAACGGAGTTAGTTAGTCAAGTGATTATAGAGTCTGACGAATAAATAAGTGTCTAAGATAATGGGATGGATCCTCCTAGAATACTATATGCTTAAAATACTTAAAATGCTAACCTCTTTGGTACCATATATTCTTCTAGGATCGTAAAACTCCAGCATCAAGGCTTGGGCTTACTGTCAAACATTTAAAAAAAACAATGTTGTTATAGAACAACATATTAGGAAGAACTACTTCTGGAATTTTTCCATCATTTCTTAAATGTATATCATCTGGAGGTGTGGAGAATTTTCAAAAATCAAGACCACGAGTGTAGCTATTCATAAATACCAAGAGACCCATCCACAATGAAATCTGGGTTTCATTGCAGGGTAAGAAAATTTCCAGACAGTGGTCCAGCCCCCAGTTTTGGATTGAAGAACCACATTATAACAGCAAATGTCCAGTGTTTTCTGAAAGGCTAAAACTGCTGAAAGATGATGGATATGAAAGAAATTTAAGTGTTCATTGTTTGCTTTTTCTCTTACTAGTCTGTCTTTGAGAGTGTAGGGTTTGAACAGGATGCAAACTAGTGGAAGACTAACTGACCTGAGGAACAACTGGCAGGTGTTTTGTTTTGGGCTACCTTCATAGTTGCCTTCCAGGTTGCTTAATAGCAGCTTTTGTTTCAACTAAATCTTTTAGCAAAATGAAAACTTTAAAAATAAACTTAACTGGCACATGTATTCAGAGAACTAGATTCATTTCATCACTTAGCAACAACCCCTTTCTCAATCACTTAAGAGAAAGAAAGCAACATGGTTCTTTCCCTGGGTAACAGACAAGAGGTGATTATGTCATTGTGTGAATGTGTATTGCTCCAGTAGTTAAATACTTATGCTGGGTTGTAATTTTTTTGACAAGTATTTAAACTTGGTTGCAGCACTGATAGACTAATGCAAACTGATTTCATCAGCTAATAGGTCCCTTGTAAACCAGGGTGGTATGTAGTTTAGTCAGCCATTTGAAAGCAAGATCACTGTCAGCAACTTAGTTGCAAAAGTTTTGTGTCTGCACAGTGATTTTTCAGTGCTTTGTATTAGAGCTCTGGGAGTAACAAGGTGATTGCCCCCATCTCTGCTGGGGAAAGTAGCTCAGGGGCTCTTTAACTGTTTCTTCTATTCTGAATTGTCTGGAACATGTTGAATTTTGAAGATCATTGTGAGAGGCTGAGTTTCTCAAGTGTGAATGTTTGGTTTTAGGCCCACGAAGCCTCCCATCACCAACAGCAGGCAGCACAGAACAGCTTGCTGCCTCTTCTGAGCTCTGCTGTGGAGCCTCCTGATCAAAAACCATTGCTTCCAATACCAATAACTCAGAAACCTCAGGCTGCACCAGAAACATTAAAGGATGCCATTGGGATTAAAAAAGAAAAACCCAAAACTTCTTTTGTGTGCACTTACTGCAGTAAAGCTTTCAGGGACAGCTATCACCTGAGGCGCCATGAGTCCTGCCACACAGGGATCAAGTTGGTGTCCCGGTCAAAGAAAACCCCCACCACAGTGGTTCCCCTTATCTCAACCATGGCTGGGGACAGCAGCCGAACTTCGTTGGTCTCAACCATTGCAGGCATCTTGTCAACAGTCACTACATCCTCCTCAGGCACCAACCCCAGCAGCAGTGCAAGTACCACAGCTATGCCTGTGACCCAGTCTGTCAAGAAACCCAGTAAGCCTGTCAAGAAGAATCATGCTTGTGAGATGTGTGGGAAGGCCTTCCGAGACGTGTACCACCTCAATCGGCACAAGCTCTCCCATTCAGATGAAAAGCCCTTCGAGTGTCCTATTTGTAATCAGCGCTTCAAGAGGAAGGACCGGATGACTTATCATGTGAGGTCTCATGAAGGAGGCATCACCAAACCCTACACTTGCAGTGTTTGTGGGAAAGGCTTCTCGAGGTACTGAGTTTTCCTTTGCTGCTTTCAGTATGGTATCAATAAACTTCAGTTTTATCTCTATGTGATTTAGCAGGTTTATGAGAATAGGTGTGGGCAGGCCTGTGTTATTAGAGGAGATTGGTAATAGACAAATAATACACCTCCTGGTGTAACTCCAGTTTGGTGTGGTTGACAAGTGGTGACGTAGTTATTACCTTGTTATTTCGTTTAAAAGGTGTCTTGGTGGACTGAAGCTGTTGGCTGGCACAGGAATACTTATCTCTGCAAAACCATTAGTTTCAAATTTAGATGGGGAAGTAGACATGAGGTTCACTGTACAAATCAAAGAAACTTATTTCCTGGAAGTTGGGATGACTTTGGATACACGTTCAATAAAACTTTTAGGCAAATGTTTCCCCATTTTTCTGTGGGCACTGACATTTCACTTAATTTTCATTTTAAAAACTTTTAGTTAACATAGTAGTAGCTGTTAGGATTAAACCATAGGTATCATGTAGTTATAAAGACTCAAGACCTGATATGATTTGATGTTGACTAGGAAAAAGGTAAAGGACTGAGAGTTTTGTTTATGGTAAGAGGTAAGGAGGTTTGCATTGGGGGGAAGTGGAGTTGGTAATTCTACTAGCTTTCTTTAAAATGCCCCCTTCTAATCTGCCAAGAATGTAAGCATTACATAAGTAGCATTTCTCTATGTGTGTTCCATTACATCTTCTGTTGAAACTCTCTCTTTCACAGGCCTGACCACTTAAGCTGTCACGTAAAACATGTCCATTCAACAGAAAGACCCTTCAAATGCCAAGTAAGAGTTAAAATGACTTATCCTTAGTGTAGCACTTACTGCACATTATCCAGAAGGTCTGAACCAGTCAAATCTCACAGTTCTTGACTAGTCTTAAAATCACTGACTTGAATAAATGTGGTCCATTTTAATTCTAGTTTTATAAAATATAAATGACAGCTTTTATTTCTATAAGGCAAGATCATTTTAAAAATGTGTGTTGTTTTGTAAGCTACATTTTTCCCTTCTCTTGGCCAGCATTTTTTGGTATAAGAGGAAAAAATATAAAATTTCAAAGGTGGTTGTATATCTGAAATGAAAAGAATAAAGGGTTTTAAACTAATTTCTGGATTGATGGTTAAGGATATTTAAACTGTGATTAAAGAATATAAGCTTTTTTCCCCCCGAATGTTATCATTGGCTAGAGATTTGTTATTACCAAAGTGGAACATTTTCTACTTGTGTAAAATCTATTCAGATTAATGATTTCATTTGACATAAATTGTGATAATGGAAAGATTGAAAATTTTGCAAAATCAAATGATTATCATAGGCATTGCTAATCCTAGTTTGTGGCTGAAAGTCACTTAGTGTACCTTTTAGTTGGGTTCATAAATGACTTATTTGGTTAAGTAAATGATTTGAATTCTTTTTTTTTTCTCTATTTGGATTTTTAAAATTTTAAAGTGAAAAAAATAAAAATAAGCATTTGAAAACAAGTTAGGAGAGTTACAGTAATTAATGTATTGCATATTGTTGTCTGCAGTAATATTCAGATTATGAGATATAAGCATGATAAATCTTGTCCAAATAATATTAACACAAAAATGATTTGAATTCTTAAGAGAAGTGTGATTGGGGGAAGGAAGTTAGTGTTGTTGAGTGAGTACCTTAATCCACCAATAATTTTGTGATAGTTATTACTATGACAGTTCTACAGATGAGTAAACATTCGGATATGTCTACAGAGTTGTTCGGCATTACAATATTTAGTGAATTGTGAAGCTCAGTTTAAATCTAGTTTTGTCTAATGCTAACTTCCACATCTTTTCACCACTCTGTATTGATACATTTTTCCTCCAGATAAATCTAAAATCCACCAAGGGTTTTAGTATGGTTATGATTCTAACTAATACATAGAATTAAAATTTAACTAGATCATGTCATGCTGACATGAATAGGGTAATGCATAGAATATAACATACTTTAAAATGAGTAGAACAGGATAGTCTATATTTAAAAAAAGTTTTCCTCCCTCATGCAGACGTGCACTGCTGCCTTTGCCACCAAAGACAGACTACGGACACACATGGTGCGCCACGAAGGCAAGGTATCGTGTAACATCTGTGGGAAGCTCCTGAGTGCAGCATACATCACCAGCCACTTAAAGACACATGGGCAGAGCCAAAGTATCAACTGTAATACATGTAAACAAGGCATCAGTAAAAGTAGGTGATACTTCAGATTGTTTGTCACATTTCATATTGATGAAATCAATATTTTCTAGAAATACATAAAAGATTTTCACTGTGCTTTCAGGACCGTATTGTTTCTCTTAAATGTTTTCTTCTGTTACTAAAATACACAAACAGGCTCAATGGAAAGAGTGTTATTATAGGAACTGTGCATTGTGTATCTCTGTGTAAACAGCATTAATAAGCTATCCACTAATTTTACTTCCACTCTCATCCTTTTCCACTAATAACACTCATATTAGAAACAGCAGAATTTCCTCACAGGAATTTTTCAAGGTGTTTTCTATGGGGTTTGAGTAACAAGCTCTAATGTGTTAAGAAATGAGATACCAGAAATCACATTAGTAAGCTGTGTTGTGTACTAGGCAATTTTATTTTTATTTAAGGTTAAGAGTCTCAAGATTTTATTAATTAAAGCATTCTTAGTAATTACCTTAAGGTGAAAGCAGTGCTAATAAGTTTGCTTTTTAAACTCAAATCTATAAAGAAATGGGATACCATATCCATTTGAATGTTTAAATGCTTTTATTGTCTTAATTTGAGAATAGAAGAGATATAATATCCCAGAGACTTATGGATAAAATTTAATACTTGCCTCTACCCAGTTTTTTTTTGTAAAGTGCTTTCTTTTTCTTTTCTTTTTTTTTTTTTTTTTTTGTCTTTTTCGTTTTTACCGGTACCGGGGATCAAATTCATGACTGCAAGGCAGGCACTTAGGCCGCTGAGCTAAATCCCCAGCCCCTTAAAGTGCTTTCTTAATTCCGTGTCTTTTTTCTTTTTCTTCTTTCCCCTGTACTGAGTATTGAACCCAGAGTCTTCTCACAGAACTATATCCTCAGTCCTTTTTACTTTTTTATTTTGAGTTCCACAGGCTGGGTTTGAGCTAGCTTCCCAGAGTGCAGGATAACAGGTTGCATCACCGTATCCAACCTAATTATTACATGTGAACTTCATATAACAGAAATACCAAATTTAAGAACAATACGTCACCAAATGAATGAATGAGAATGGGCTGGTGATACAGCTCAGCTGCACAGTGCTTGGCATAGCACAAGGTTGTGAGTTTGATTCCTGGTACCCTCCCCCCCAAAAAAGAGAAAGAAAGCTTAATGTGTTTTAATCTCATCATTTTTGCTATTCTCTAGCATGTTGTACTTTAGCTTTATAAAATTCACTTTTAATGTAGGTCACTGTGGCTAAGGAAGCAAATAAATTAGTTATTTTAATGAGTATTGATGAACTCATACTAATTACACAATTTCCACTTTTTAAAACAAAATTTTCTTTTTATTATAGTGAAGGAATTTTTGTTGTTTTGGGGAGGTTTGGTTTTGTTTGTGGTGGTGAGTATTTTGTTTATATTTGCATTACTGTAGTCAGTCCCTGGGGTACTCTATTGCTGAGTTACTTCCCCATTCCTTTTTATTTTATTTTGAGACAGGGTTTCACTAAATTGCCCAGGCTACCCTTATGATGCTCCTGCTCATCCCCTGAGCAACTTGGATTACAGGTGTGCGCCACCTCACCTGACTAAAATTCTTTTCTATTCATAGTGGTTTTCCCAATTCTCTCAATTCTTTAAATGTTTGATCAATATACACACAAGAAGCAAAACAGGTACACTGTAGTAATAGCTATTAGTTAAAAGATAAAGACCACAGAGGAGTGCAGAGTCAAAGTATTTAAATTCAGGATTTGGAAAAACTGGCCATACTTTTCAAGGTAAATATAGTGTTCCTGCTTTGTCCTGGAATAGCATGCATGAGTGAAGAGACCAGCAGTCAGAAGCAACAGCAGCAGCAACAGCAGCAGCAGCAGCAGCAACAGCAGCAGCAGCAGCAGCAGCAGCAGCAGCAGCATGTGTCAAGCTGGCCAGGGAAGCAGGTGGAGACCCTGAGACTGTGGGAAGAAGCTGTTAAAGCAAGGAAGAAAGGTAAGATGAGGTTTCTGGTATTCGAGGAATAGTTGAAAAGTGTTTTTATTTAGTATGCCAGATAAACAAAGAAGCCACAGTTTGGGGAACCTAGCTTTACAGAAACGTAAAATTATGTCATGCTGGGAAATAACTGGCAAAGTTTATTTGTTGGCAGCAGAGGTTCCAAATGAATTTTTATTACTAGGAAATACAAATTGTCAGTACTTCCTGTCGTATTTCTTTCTTTCAATTTACTAGTTATAAATTTGCAGTCAAATTTGGTCCTTCTTATGCTTAAGGTTCTATTTTTATGTTCATTTTGAGGTCAGCTTCCATGTATTATGGACTCTGTTTTTTCTTCCTCAAAAATACCCTTGTGTGTATGTGAGTTCTTTTTTTTGTAACTGTTATTTTCTGCTCTTTTATGCCCTTTCTGCTTTGTGCTATTTGGTACTCAATGCAGACTATAGTGCTGATGTCATTTCTCTTGGTCTTATCTGTAATCTTTTATCACTGGGACTGGCTTTAGCTTAACATGTCTGTACTTCAGCTGTTAGAGACTTTGCTGTATTTATTATGAAAATGGAAAATGATTTTCTTTTCTCTGTGTGTAATTTATAATCAGTGAAGGATACGTTTTCCACAGACTTTTCCATTTACTAGTTACAGCTTTGACTTCTGTGTACTGTGCAGAAGTTCAAATCATCTTATCATTATAGTATCAGTCATAGGACAGATTCCTAAATTTCTTTTCTTCTCCACCTCTGGCACCTGCTTTATTTTAAATTCTAAGGAATCTTCTGCATATAAGCTCCTCTCTGATTCCTTCATTGTGCAGTTTCTTCTTTTACTTTCATGTAGTGCGGCTGTTCCCTTCCTCAGATCCCTCCTCAACATCCTGTACTTGGATAAAGATAAAAGGAATAGCATCCTTTTTCATTCATGTGCTGGCATTGGAGGAAAAGAATGATTCTTCCCCATTTTCCAAATGAAGATTTGCCTTTTTTTTTTTTTTGATAAAACATTTTGTGAAGGGAGAAGGGTTAGAGACCACCAGTGAGGAACAGAAAAATTTAATATTATAGAATAATTAAATAGTGGTTGAAAATATATTATGAAAAATATTTTACTTACAGCAGGAAAGAAGTATTTTAAGTCAAAGTAAGGGGTAGTTTTAGGGCCGGAAGTGTCATACAGCAATATAGTGGTTGTCTTACTTAGGCAAGGCCATGGGTTCCATCCTCACCACAGCAAAAAAACAAAACAAAAAACTGTTAGAGTAAAAAGAAAACATCAGTTTGGGGGAGAAGGGATACACCATGCAAATTCTTCCTTTTTGAGAAGAACAGACAGAGAATATCATTAGCAGTGCTATCATCACATCAAAAAGTAAATTGGCTTTCTCTTCTGTTCATTCTCTCATTCTCTGTGTCTTTCTCATCTATTTGGTATTGTATTTCAATTTATTTTACACAATAAGACTTGATTGTTAACTCATCTTCTGACCTCCCTGAAACAAAACACTATTGTGTTCTTCCCATTTGCAGCATGAATCTTTCTGGGAATGGCCATTGAGGTTAGCAACCTCTGTATTTATGTTAGTAAATGTCACATTTTGAAGGAGAGGAGGCTTCTGAACTGAAAACTAACTTGAGTCGGAATTGTCTCTTAAATAGTAGACCTAAATAGAGTAGTATAAGTTCCCAAACATGGATAATGATCAGACCATCGAGGGAGCTTTTTAAAAATACATACTTGTCAGGTTTCATCTCAATTTCACTATTGAATTTCCTGGGAATCTTTGTTTTTAAAAAGCTCCCTTGAGGGGGCTGGGGATTTAGAAGGGGGCTGAGGATTTAGCTCAGTGGCATAAGCACCTGCCTTGCAAGCACGCAGTCGTGAGTTCAATCCCCGGTACCGATTAAAAAAAAAACTCCCTTGGGCCTGGACACAGTGCCTACCTGGCAAGCATGATTCCCAGGACCAAAAATAAAATAAAAAGGCTCCCTAGATGGTCTTGATCTGCCCAGATCAGGAATTCCTGGTATAGAGTATGAAGTATACCAGTTATATTGATGAAGAAAGAGCCTTACAGATTCAAGGTCCCCCCGAGGTGATTTCAACCCCTGCGGACCATGAGTCACCCTCCATCTTTATGTTGAATGCATTTCTCAATGTTGACAGCCAAGTCACCACTAGCTTACCCCTGTCTCCTTACTGCTGGTTTGTGGCATACCAGTAAGTAATACTGAATTTCCTTGAGGGGTGAGTTGGGGGTGTCACCTTACATAAAAGTTTTAAATGCTCAAGGAGCTGGTAATGCAGTTCAGTGGTAGAGCACTTGTCTAGCCTGTGGGAGGCACTGGGTTCAATCCTTACCTGAGGAGGGAAAAAAGTACCTAGGCATTCCTAGATAACAAGGACCAGGGCCCCCCAGCTCACTGCAGGGTGTTCTTGCCTCCTTGATATGCTTGGTAATATGTGTAGTAAGTGCAGTTAAATGATAGCATAAAGAAGAAGATGCCAACACAAGAAAGAAAAGTAGAAGTGGAATTTAAGAAGGAGGACACTACCCTACTAAGTAATATTTTTTCTTTCTTAATATAAGAAACAGAAGGTGTAAGATAAGGGCTGGGGATTTAGCTCAGCGGCATAAGCACCTGCCTTGCAAGCAGGCAGGCGTGAGTTCGATCCCCAGTACTGATAAAAAGGAAAAAGACACACACACAAAAAAAGAAACTATAAGATTATTTAACTTAGAGCAGTTTTGCTATGATTCAAATAAACATTATATTAAGTATCTTGTTTCTTGTTCCCTAATTATGCATTTTAAAGCCACAGAATGTGGCTTCACTTTTAAGAAGGCTTTAACATATCATTAGTACACACACCTTTCTCTCTGCTAGTCAGGTAAGTAAATCTGAGCTTGAAATCAAAAGTGTGAGGGTAAACAAGTTGCCCAAGTCTGCAAAGGAGGTATAGCTTCAGAGAAGAGAGTCCCACCTTGGGACCCCCAGCCCTCAGGCATGTGCTCAGAAGGATCCTCTCTTCCTCTTGACCATGTGGTAGAAAATTGTGGTTTGATTTATTAAATGTCTGTCCTTTCTAATTAAAAGAAATTGGTTCAGAAACTGTTTGTGAATTTTGTTCTTTGTTTTCAGAGTCTAAAGCCCCTTTTGTCTTCTTATTTTAGAAGCTGCTAACCTGTGCCAAACCTCCACGGCTGCTACGACACCTGTGACTCTCACTACTCCATTCAATATAACATCCTCTGTGTCGTCTGGGACAATGTCAAACCCAGTCACAGTGGCAGCTGCAATGAGCATGAGGAGTCCAGTAAATGTTTCAAGTGCAGTTAATATAACCAGCCCAATGAACATAGGGCATCCTGTAACTATAACCAGTCCATTATCCATGACCTCTCCTTTAACACTCACTACCCCAGTAAACCTCCCCACCCCTGTCACTGCCCCAGTGAATATAGCACACCCTGTCACAATCACATCTCCAATGAACCTGCCTACTCCTATGACATTAGCTGCCCCTCTCAATATAGCAATGAGGCCTGTAGAAAGCATGCCTTTCTTGCCCCAAGCTTTGCCTACATCACCCCCTTGGTAAACAGTATTATATCAAATATGGGTTAAAGTAAATATTTACCAGCAACTTATTTTAGTTGATAAAAGCAAATCACGAAATTGGGAGATTTTATGACATTAGTTCATAAGAATATAGTAGCATTTTCCTCCGATTTGGCTGGGATTGTTCAAAATAGGGTGTATATGTAACATCACTGGACCACTTTGGTTTAATCAGAAATTCCTTTTAGCTGACAACATTGCTTAAACAGGATAGTAGTTGGCAAGATGAAATGCCAGAATTAAAACCAATCATTGAAAGCAAAATCCATTTCCCATTTCAAAACTTTTAAATTAGTGTTATTGTTTCTAATCCCAAGAAATCATTTTATTCTAAACACTAGCAGGACCCTATACAAGGTGGATGGCTGATTTTAACCTGAAATTCTAAATCCACAGGTGGAGAGCTAGTGTAGAATTGTCTGTGTTTATTGTTTTTATGAGTGAATACATGCATTGTCATAATAAAATGCATTTCAGAGAATATGCATTTTACCTTTGGGAATATGTTAATTTCAGGCAGCATTCCCTATGGGAAAGGTGATACCAGCTCTGATATGCAAAGCATATGATAATTTATCATTCTAACTTCAACATATAATAGGGACTGTGACCTGATATTTGGAGATGTAAATATTGCTCAGCATATTAATCCTGATGGAATATAGCATTGTAGTTGACTTTTTAAAAAAATTTTTAAAAAATATACAAATTGTGTTTTGGTAGGGAAAGGCCGCCATTGACAGAGGAGAAGTCAAATGTGCGAACAGGCAGGTTTCTAACAATTGGAGGTTAGTGGGACTCCTGTGTAGGAGCTAAGGAGTACTTTGGAACAGTTCAAATACATTGCTTTAAATTAGAAGACGCTGGAGGCACTGGGATGTGAAATGCCCCTCTCTCCCAATCAGAGCCTGTTGATGTTACAACAGGGACAGATGTTTTAGATGCTCACTAGAGTTTATGTCTTATATTAAATTGTATACAGTTTTTATTCTAACCACTAACTAGGTAGTATGCCCCTTAAGAACAAGCAGAGTGTATCTTTTTTTCTTCTTCCATTTAATCAAGTATTGTGCAGATTTATTCAACTTTGTAAATATGGACATCACTTTTTTTTTCTTTGAGAAAACACTCGTATCAGCTTTGTGGTGTTTTCAGGGAGACAGCTGTCTGCACTCTGTAGAAACTAAGCAATGGTTATGCACGTTAAGACATGTGCTTTTTATTTCTTAGCAGTATGTTTTCTCTCTGTACATAAAGTAGAAACCAAAAGCTCCGGAAACAGATACTCTATACCATCATGCCACACATTAATGTTTTTAAAACATTGTGTTAAAAAAGTTAAAACCAAGAGCTGAGATTTTTTTTTTAAGTTGCAATATGTTTTTGGTTTTATCATGTTTTAATCTTACAGTCAAGAGAAATGGAAATTAGTTGTGTTAATCCTGCAGAATGTTTGCAGGACTATCAAACTGAGACTTCCATTTATACTCCACTGTGTCGGTTCAAGCATCAAAAAACCGTGCATCTGAGGCAGACTTCCTACATCAGGGATAGGTATCTGTATGTCATTATACAAAACAGTTCTAGGGGGTTGAACTACATAGTAAAAAAAATAGTATCTAGTGTAAAATAATTTTATAAATGATCTTTTGTACTTTAGGACATTAAATTGTACAACTTTTGTATATATAAAAGCTTAGGAACTTTCTGTTTAGCAGGAAGGCAACACATTCCTACACTTTTAATGTATATGTTTGTTATAATGTCCATGTAAACATGCCCTATGTTTGTGCCTTTTAATTAGTTTGTCTCAATAAACAAAATGTAGAGAAAAATATGTAGCTATGGCTTTGTTACAACTGTTCTTATCCATAGTACAAAAATGGTTTGTTTTTAATATGTAGAGCATTATGTGTGGACTACTGGAAGGATTTATATAGAAAAGGCCCAAGAACGGCCCTGCTGAGGCCTGGATTAGGAGGGAGTGACCACATTTGGAGGAAGCCTGCATTTGCTGGTATGCAGACCAGGACTCCGTTCTGGGTCCGCCTGCAAGGATGTTATTTCTGGTCAGCTGGCAGTCTCAGTCCTCCATGGTTCAGCAGACCAGGTTTCCTCCACAGTGGTCCAAGGAGCAATCCTCAGTGGGGGCAGGTATGGGCCCCACCCCCAGGCTAGAGTGTGGTTGTCAGAATCCTGAAAATACTAGTTCTTTTTAAAAAAAGATATAAGAAATAATTGTTTTATCAATTCATTGTATAATAAACAGGAGTGAGACTTCATTGTATGACTTTAGTTAAAATGCTATTTTATATGCATTCTTTATTCACTTAAGAAGCTTGTCTGCAATAATAAAGTCACGTTGTAGCTTCTTTTGGGAGGGAGAGAGTTGATGGCAGGATGAGGCTGAGGGTGGACCACGGCAGAGGTCAAATGAGTTGTATGGTAAAACTCCTGTGTCTTGGAGCTGGAAATGAGTTGTGATGCTGATGAACTGATTCAACCAGGTGTATGAAGGCACGACGGTCACTGCTCTACAGAAAGGCAAAGTATGTATTTCCCTTCTGATTGTAACCTGGTTGAGAACTTTCCCTTTATCAGATTGGCAGCTGAATGGTTGTATTAGATAATCCTTAAATCTGACATCCAGCCCGTTGTGCTCTAGGGCTTGCTGCTTGGCCTGCACTTGCCTTTTATTGTGTATCCATTTCCTTCCTAAGGTGTGCTCCTAAATGAAGGTTTCTATGTAAGCAGATGATGATTTTACCTGTCAATACCAGCACTGTATTACTAACATGCAAAATCCTGCAGATTTATTTTGACAAATTAAAGTTAACCAGTCACAAATGTTATGGATTGCTTAATATCTCAGAGGTTTTAGTTCATTATGATGATAGAAAATTTTTGAAGCACTGTTTCTCCAGGTAAACATTTGCAGGGTTGGGCCAGAGAGGGAGGGAAGAACCGGGTTGGGTTGGTTGGTATCTTGGTGACAGAGAAAAATGAGCAAAAAGGCACCAGACTCAGCTGACTGCAGGAGGGGTGATATCCCCACCCAAACAGAAAACCAGGCCTTGGAGCAGTGGCCACAGGCTTAGGCCTCTGTCCCACCTACCTAAAACATATCTTTTTGTGCTTTGTCCCATCTAACCCCCCACCCCTTCTTTTTCCTTTGTGGGAGGTGGTGTTAGGGATTGAACCAGGGCCTTCATGCTGAGGTATATCCCCAGCCCTTATAAAATTTTGTAAAACTGAAACAAGATCTAAGTCTTAAGTTGCTCAGCCTTGACTCAAACTCATGGTTCTCCTGCATCAGTCTACCAGAGTACTGGGATTACAGATACCACCATGCCCAGCTTCCCCATTTCTGCTTGACCCAATTTTCAGTTGAGTCCCTTGCCCATTTGTATCCAGCTAGGTTTATCACATGTGCACTGAGGATGGACAGCACCAGGCAGTAAGAGGCATGTGAAGGTGACTAAGGCATTGTTGCTTCCTCCAGAGAGTCTGTAAAGGGAGATGAGTGCCTAAATGACAATCTGACACTTCCTTTGATGGAAAAGTTTAAATACCTTTGTCTGTTTTATATAGAATAGAGGTTTTCCAAGCTTCTTGTGATAAGTGTGTAGGTCTATTGATTAAGTGAATACAACTGAAAGAAAAGTGTTCCTTGTGCTATTTTTGAGAGCAAGGGAAGTTTCATTTCATTGAGTTGCTAGTCTTTCCAGTCCCAGCTGTCCAAGTATCTCTGCTCTACTCTGGACTTTGCAGTTTGATTCACTCTGGAGAGACCTGGGTTTGGAATATAAATGGGCTGGCGATCACTTTTCCCATCCAACTCAAAGTTATCCTCCTGTCTCAGCCTCCTGTGTACTGAGGTTATAGGCATTGTGCTACCACAGTCAGCTCTTAAAACCACTCTTAGGAGAGCAAATCCTTTCTAGTGTATATAACTATAAACATTCAGAAAGAATTCTCGGGGATGTTTTTATAACTTCTCATCATTTATGAAATTTCCTCAAAGTAATAGCCACCTGTATTTAGCTGTGTCAGCCCAGGCTAAAGAAAGACATTTGAGGAAAATATCCTTTTCCACCAGTGAGCTATTGCTTTGTCATGGCAACTATAGAGCTTGATGAGACTGAGGTGGGGACATGCTTTTTCTGCATCTGGTTCAGCAGCTCAGCCTGGCAGTCAGTGCTGAGGTCCATGGCAGTGGGGCGGGGAGAGATGTGCCCATTCTAGAAGCTGCTCATGGAGAGGAAACACCTGAGACTGGGGTGGGACTTGAGGCTTTTGTCAGTGTTATGGACAGTTGGAGGCTCCCAGAGCCTTTTCTGTCTAGGTAGCTGAAGTGTCAGTGATCTGACTTGCATTCTCGCCAACGATTTCTACCTTTGTTAGTGGTGGAAAAGAGCCAGAAAGAAATCAACAGTTTTGGTTAAGCCCTCGAAGTTACAGGAAAAGAGGAGAGATTCTGGAGACAATGTACATACGCTACTTGTGGCATCAGCCCTGCCCTGACCCCAGTACTCCCCACGAACCTGCTCTGTGCTGCGCATGGTAACTCAGAGGACTTGCCTTCAGTGTTAGTCCAAGCCAGCTGTGGCAAATTCAGCTTCTGTCAATAAGCAGAAAAGATGGCCAGATAAGGGGCACAATCAGTAGCTGAAGACACTGAAGATTCAAGGGGTCAGGAGAGAACCTTTCGCACTGGGAACCTTTTATGCACTTCTTGCCAAAAGAGGTGTGGACCCATCCTTTCCTGGAAGCCAGAGCTGCTGCAGCCCAAAAATATGTAGTCCCTGATTCCAGGGAAGCTCTTTCCAGCACAAGGGAGTTCACCTTATCAAATCAGAGGCTGTATGTCATGAGGGATCTCTGGATAAAAATGGGGCCCGGGGTCTTTGAGGAGGCAGAGAGAGAGTGTATGTGTAGAACAACTTTATGCTGTACCCAGACCTAGATGTCCTCTCCACAACTAAACCTCTAACTGGACATCAAGCAAAGTCCAATTTGTTGCTCCAAGGGAGGACTGGGGAGACAGGCCTGATATACTTCTGGACCAGACCAGCTCACTCCTGTGGCAACTGTCATGCTTCCACCGCCTGAGCAGTCTAGGTCTAGCATTTGCTGCTTTTTGCCCTAATCTACTTTTGCCGGCCTCCGGGCATCTTCACCGCTTGTTTCCTCCTAGGGCTGGAGTCAAGGCTGGAGTGGGGGTGGGGCGAGGCAAACAACTCTTGGGGGTGTCGGCCCCGCCCCGACTAGAGCATGGGAAGCAGGGATTGGTTGGTATCTTCTGGGTTCTGATTGGCTAGGTGTCGGTCAGGGTGCTCATTCACAGTTTTGCTACTGCCGAAGCTTGAGTCTGGAATCCCGCTTCACTTTCCACAGTCTGCACTATACAATAATTGCACACATTCTTCGTAAATACAAAACATTCAGTTCTATGGTGTTCTCAGGTGACATGCCCCCAATTTACAGTGTTGACTCTTTCAAGGAGCCTGAGGGTTTACTATACCCTACCTCCAAATCATTCCTGTGCTGGTGAATGGAAGAGGCGCCCAGGGATGCTTTGGCATACCGGCATACCGAGGCGAGGCCTGGTTTGTCCTGAGAGGCCGCTGGCTGGCTTAGCCCTTCACCCTCTACATTTTGTTACATTTCCGTACTTTCATCATGCAATTCGTTTCCATTTGTCCACATTTAAACTGTGTTTAAGTACTCAAGCTCACCTGAAACCCCCCCTCCCCCGAAAAAAGCTGATTCAGGGCTCAGGCATGAAAAATAAAATGAACATTTTTTAAAAATTTAAATTTGGAGGGGCTGGGGATTTAGCTCAGCGGCATAAGGCAGTCGTGAGTTCAACCCCGGTACCAATAAAAAAAGAAAAAGACAAAAAAAAAAAAAAAAAAATTAAATTTGGAAATGTTTTCAAACTACAAAAAATGAACATCTAGATATGGTTCAACCAGATTCACTGGATTAACATTTTATCCTCTAATCACTTGGAGATGTATTTTCTGAACTCATCATAGTGCTTACCCCTAAGTAACTCCCTGTATGTTTCCTAAAAATAGGGATGTGCTCTTACACCACAGTCCAGTTATTCACTTCACATATTTATATAAAGTTTTTCTTTAACCTGCCACCAGTATTTCAATTATATCCATCATTGCTCCCCTCTAGGGTTGAGCATCATGTTTGGTTGTGGTATCTTTATAGCCTTCTTACCCCTGGATCATTTACATAGCTGGCACTTTTAAGGACACAGATTTTTTTTTTCTTTTTTCCAGTACCGGGGATCGAACTTACGACTTCCTGCTTGCAAGGCAGGTGCTTATGCCTCTGAGCTAAATCCCCAGCCCCCAAGACACAGACATTTCTTCGTGAGATCATACACTGCCTGAGGGACTACTACATAGACAGTTTGTCCTTAGGAGATCTGACCTGGAGGTACATGAGATCCCCCTGTTCCTCATAGATGGTGTTAAATTGGATCATCCAGTCAAAGGGTTGTCCTGTTTCTCCACCTTTGCCACACACACAACTAATGGACAATCGGAGAGGAGACATTTTAAGACCATCCAAATATTCTACCCTTCATTAAGATTTCCCTCTAAATTTAGCATCCATGAAATTAGACCTAATTCCATCTTAAACATGATGATCAAAACATCTCTTTGTAAAAGAAAATAAGGAGGTATTTATTCAAAGAACATGGGAACATATCCATAGAACATCAGGAGCCACCAAATGGCCCAATTCAGAACAATCTAAGTAAGCATGAAAATCAATAATGATAATGTTACGAGTGATTGAAGGAAAATGATAACCCACAAATCCACACATATATGAGTGACCAGCTCCTCCAGTCCCTTAAGCTCTCAGCAGTGATAAGTGCTCTATGCTATGCTATGGTCCCTCTATGCTATGGTCCCAACTTGTGCTCTCCTCTCACCTAGCACTTACCTGGCTGGAGAGATATCGCTGAACTGCACCCTGGACTCTACCCCATCCTGCCCCAAAGGACACAGGTCCTGCAGGCTCAACTGTGGGACCTGAAGCCAAGACCTAGACCTGCCATGGCCTTAGGGTCCTCTTGCACTTGTGTCAGCCCTGTTTCAGAGAGTGATGTTTTCTCTCTTAAAGAGATACCTAGTAAGGAAAATCTCCCTTAAAGGCACGCTCAGCCCTCTGGGGGATTCTCCACCCACTACTCTGGAACTATGGTGTACAAACTAAATGAGGTTTTTCCACCACAGAGTAAGACATCCTTGCCATTTCTTTTCTTTTCTTTTTTTTTTTTTTCTTTTTTTTTTTTTTATCCTTGCCATTTCTACAAGTGTGCAGATGAGGCAATTTAAGGGCTGATGAGGCAGTGCTGACTTGTTCTCCTTGCTTCCCTAGCCATTTAGTGCCCCAGGAGATGATTCCCCTCCAAGCAGGAAGAACCCCTTCCTCCTGGACATTGAGGTACCTGTGGTGAAGAATCAGATCTGAACATCTGGACTCAATTGCTCTCAAATATTCCTGCTTGGAAGCATAAGGACAGTAAGACAGGCATTTTCTACTGAATTTTAAAATGATACCTGATAGACTCACAACCAGACCATATTCCCTGTGAAGAAACCAGCAAGTTATTTAGTCTCTACATGCCCCAACTTCCTGGCCTGCAAGATGGGATAATAGGGGCATCTTATTGTAGGGTCAATGAGGCGTAAATAAAGTAATACATGTAAATACTAACTGCCACGTAGTAAGCTTTGTATGCTTGCTTATTATTGTTGTAATTGTCGTTGCCAGGGATGTGCAGAAATGTTTGGGCTCCCAAGTCAGGGCTG